CAGTAACAGGTTAGTTTGAAACCAAAGACACTAACCTGTCAAAATTCCTTTAAAATTTGGGGTCTTTTTTTAATCCTTGTGGTATCGAAAATGGTATCGAGTATTTTCCTGAGTATCGGTATGGAGTTGAAAATTTTAGTATCGTGACAACCCTAGGTCCTGTTGCATTTCTGTGCTGACCCCCTGACCTGGCGAGCGGCCAGCACCTCTGGAGTGTCCTGGGCTCTGATGGAGAAGGTCTGCAGGGGGGACGGCAGCTTCTCTGGGGGGGGGGGGGGGGGGGTACTCACCGGGGGCCAGGCGCTCCGCGGGGTCGTAGACGGCGTGCGCGGGCTCCTGCGTGCAGCAGTGGAACGGAGCCAGCTGCACGGACTTCACCTTCCCGCTGGGCTGCAGGTCGAACACCTCGAAGTGGCCCGGCAGGAAGGGCTCGATCTGGGCTTTGGTCGCCATGGAGTGGGTGATGTCGATCAGGCCTGTTAGAGAGAGGATTTGTTATATTATATATATATATATTTTTTTTTTTATAATGTGTTTATTCATGTGACAAGGTCAAGTACAAACAATGAAAATAATGAAAATAATGATTTTTTTTCATTTTTACAAAAACAACCCCTCATTCCCTTCCCTTCCCCAGCCCTCCCCAATCCTACAAGATTATGCAACAAATCAGTAATAACCCACATCCTTCCTTCTTACTGTACAAGAACATGTGAATAATAAAAAAATTTTAAAAAGTATATAGACAATTAAAAAAAAAGAGAGAGCAGCAAGTACAACACACATAAATAAGCAGAAAACACCACAAAACAAAACTGAGAAGTAAAATTTTCAATGGGCCAAGATGAAGCAGGGAGGAAAAGAAAATGCAATCAAAAGTCAAGTGGACGCCTCACCCGTCCTGCAGTGTCTTCAATCTAGCTATGTAGATAATCATGCAGCCCCAAACTGAATCAAATTTTCCAGGTGCCCCCCTCAGATCATATTTAATTTTCTCCAGGTCTATGTGCAGCATGAGATCTTTGAGCCACAGTGAAGCTTTTGGGGCCCCTGGTGCCTTCCATTCCAACAAAATTCTTCTCCGCGCTAATAGAGAAGCAAAAGCAATATATATCATTATTATATTTTGTCCATGAATACTTATTAAATACCTCTAAAAAGTTCCCAGGCATGCACTCACTAATTTTATTTTTGTAATGTCATTGTCTGAACGTGTGTCTCTCTGTTTTAACTGATATTGTATTATGTGATTTTGTGTTGTTTTGTCTTGGGAATTAGCAACTATGCTAAAATTGTGTCTGATTTACAATCTGTATGAGATTGTTCATTAATGTGCACTGTCCTTTTGTAGCTTTCCCCCTGGTTGTGCTGCTTCCAGACATGTATTTTCATATTAAAGCATTTAACCAATCACATTTCAGCCATCACTTGTTGCTAGGCAGGGTCAAAGTCAAAGATGTCTGCCTGGAGGCCTTCACAATCCGTTCAGCAGTCCCTCTAACAGAAAACAATAATAAATAAATAATAATAATAAATGCCGATTAAACTGTTGCTTTAACCAATCAGATTTTAAGTTGGGGACACCAGGGCCTTCTAGCCCTCTGATTGGATCGTCAGATAGCATACCAGCCTAAGCTAGCAAATGAGCCGAAGTGCTCGGATAATCTGTATCACAGAGTAATGGAAGTATTTTTGAGGAAGAAAGGAGGATGGATTTAGTCTAAAAATAATTTGGATTTTTGATGAGTAAAATGTTGTTTTCCTAAAAAATATTGCGAGTTTATGAAGACATTATTGATGTTTTTTGTTTTTTTTTTCTTTAGGGAAAGTTCCCACTAGCATATATTCTGAAGGTTATTTTTCTTTCTCATGGGACTCTTTTCTCTTTCCGGGTCCCAGAGAAGGTCTCCTTATTCGTTATCTCGTAATGTTTTATCCGGAGGATTGTTTGGTACACGTGCAGGTTTCTCTATGATGAAAGATGTACTTTACTCCTTATCCCAGACTCAGGGAGGTGTATATATTTATGGTGCGTTTTACTATAAAGCGGCTTTTCTTTTTCTCTCCCTCCCTCCCTGAGCCATGGTTCTGTTCCAGGTTTCTTCCTCGTAAAGTCAGTTTTTCCCTCCCTGGGTCTCCTAGTGCTGCTCTTGGTGGGAATTGTTGTTCCTGAGTAAATAACTCAGAGCCTGAGTTGCTCTGTTTGAAAAACTGCTGTTGGAAGCCATAACTAAGAAATGGATGACACAGTCAGCCCCCACCATTTCAAACTGGATTGAAACCATGACTGCAATAAGAAATATGGAACAAATTACTTTAAAAATTTACTTGAAACTTGATATTTTTCACAAACTTTGGTCAAAATGGGACTCCTACAGGGTAAAGTGTGCTGTGCTTCAAAATGATTCATCGCTCCTTTCAACAAACTGCATTTTTGTCAACTGCTCTCTATGTCGAACTGTTCTGTGTTATTAATGTTGTACTGAAAACTTTGAAAAAAGAAAATATAAAAAAAAAAAGAAAAACTGCTGTTGGGATTTGGAGCTATAGAAATAAAATACAGTAATCCCTCGGGTTACGTTCCGAAAATGACCCGCGATAAGTGAAATCCGCGAAATAGAAAACTTTTTTTTTTTTTTTACAAAAAGCAACTATTACATGTATACAAATACAGTGACTCACGTGTAGTGTCGGTCCAGGCCGTTTCGTCGACATTACGGGTTTAGGAGATGTTCGAAATTACAAGATAATTTGGCCAACTTAATGTAAATTTGCTAATCTGTTTTATGTACGTACACATAACTGCACGAGACGACAAAATGATAGCACAATTCGTGGCATGTTTTGATACAAGAAGCGGGAGTGAGTTTTTAGCGAATCAGAATGCAGAGCACAATGCACCCAAAAAAAAAAAAAAAACAAATATCAAAAATGAAAATCCGCGAAATAGCGAATCCGCGATAAGTGAACCACGAAGTGGCGAGGGATCACTGTAAATTAATAAAACTGAACTGAATAGCCAGGATGGCTATGCCCCCCCCCTTTACCTTTGGCCTCTGAGCAGACGGCCAGGAAGCCGTCGTCTGTGAGGAGCTTGAACATTGGCCGCACCCCGTAGGTGTCCCTGCCGATGTGCACCTTCCTGTTGGCGGTGTCCAGCAGGATAAAAGCGAACACGCCGTCCAGGAGGGACGCCATCTCCTTTATGCCGAAGCGGTCGTACAGGTGGAGCAAGATCTCACCGTCCATTTTAGTTTGGTAGTCAAAGTCAAACTGCTTTTTCAACTGAAAGGACAAAAAAAAAACAGAAAAAAAACAGATCAGTTTGAGGGAATTTAAAAAAAAAAGTCTGAGCGTGTACTACAAGCATTACGGTACCCCAGAGGGTTCTAGGTTGGTTGCTTATGATCATTAACAAGACGTTAGCCTTGCTAGCTGCGGCTAATGGCTAATAATAACATGCTACCCTTAATCAAGTACATATCCAACTCCCCCACATCCAAGTCGGCCATTTTGATTAGGTCACCAATAGGAAGAACCCAGGCAAGAAAATCCTAATTGCTTCATGGCAATATAGACATTTAAAAATAGTGAAATTAATCTTTCGAACACTTAATTAAACTCTATCCATAATATGTTAAAATAGTGGATGTTACATAGGTTTGTACAATAAGTCCAAACAAGTTTAAGCAAAAAATATTTATTTCTCACAATTATGAAGGGTGGAGGGTTAGGGTTAGGGTCATTAATGTGGGCCACCGGTCACGATAACATCAGTAACAGGTCAGTTTGAAATGAAAGACACTATTCAGTTACATTTTGGGGTCTTTGTTTTTATCCTTGTGGTATCGAAAATGGTATCGAGTATTTTCCTGAGTATCGATATCGAGTAGGGGTGGGACGGTTCACAAAATCCACGGTTCGGTTCGATTCACGGTTTCGTGGTCACGGTTTTCGGTTCGGTTCGCTATATGGTGATTGTTAGGAAAATCTATTATGTCTTGTTTAGTCAGGTTAAAACTTAAATTTGATCCATTATTGTGAGAGTCTTAGGTTAAAAGTAGGTGAGATTCTGGCATTGCAAGAGAGGAAACAGTGCTAATTCCAACATGTGCTTCCCTCTAAATGCAAAGTGGTCCATACAGCAGACCTAGAAACTGCTGTTGGCGGTCTGATTTTTATCGGCTACGCTGCTTCGCTTCTTCTTCTTGTTTCCTACTGGTGGTTGGCTTTGGGCGCAGTAGCGCCACCTTCTGCTCTGGAGTGTAAACGCTTCCCTCTGAGAAAAAGGAGCAGTGCATGAACCGAACGCAACACACGCGAACCGAACCGAGACAGAACCCAACGGTTCGGACGGTTTTCAGAAACCGTCCCATCCCTAGTGTTGGTGTGCTGTAGGACTCACGGTGTGGTGGTTGTAGATCTCCCCGTTGTAGCACAGCCACAGGTAGGGGAACTTCTTGATGCGGAGCGGCTGCATGCCGTGCAGCTGGTCCACGATGGCCAGCCGGTGGAAGCCGAAGCAGCAGCTGGTGAAGCCGTTCACGTTCTCGAAGCGGAAGGCGTCCGGCCCCCGGTGCGCGATCTTCATGGCACACGTGCACTGAACCGACAGGCACTCATCGCTGCCAAACAGAGCCCAGATGCCACACATCTTCAGCCTGAGGAGCACGAAGGGAGAGAGGAGGGTTATAGTCACATAACACACCACAATAAAGAAGCAAAGTCAAAGTTTTTACAAAGAAAAAGCTGGAAAATTATGATAGAACCACAAAAAAAGGGTCAAAGTGAAACTTTTTTCAAAGAAAAAGCTGAAAAATGATGATAGTACCACAAAAAAAGAGGCAAAGTGAAACGTTTTTTCACAGAAAAATACACATCACAGAAAAGAGGCAAAGTCAAAGTTTTTACAAAGAAAAAAGCTGAAAAATGATGATAGAACCACAAAAAAGGGGCAAAGTGAAACGTTTTTCAAAGAAAAAGCTGAAAAATGATAGTACCACAAAAAATTAGGCAAAGTGAAACGTTTTTTCACAGAAAAATAATACACATCACAGAAAAGAGGCAGAGTGAAACTTTTTTCACAGAAAAAGCAGAAAAATGCTAATATATATATCACAGAAAAGAGGCAGTGTGAAACTTTTTACAAAGAAAAAGCTGAAAAATTATGATAATACCACAAAAAAGGGTCAAAGTGAAACTTTTTTCAAAGAAAAAGCTGAAAAATGATAATAGTACCACAAAAAATGAAGCAAATTCAAACTTTTTTTCACAGTAGAAAAATTATGATAGTACCACAAAAAAGGGGCAAAGTGAAACGTTTTTTCACAGAAAATAAAGAAAAATGACGATAATACCTCAAAATTAGGCAAAGTGAAACGTTTTTTAAAAGAAAAATAATACACATCACAAAAAAGAGGCGGAGTGAAACTTTTTTCACTGAAAAATTAGGATAGTACCACAAAAAAGAGGCAAAGTCAAACTTTTTTTACAGTAAAATGATGATAGACATCACAGAAAAGAGGCAGAGTCAAACTTTTTACAAAGAAAAAGCTGAAAAATTATGATAGAACCACAAAAAAAAGAGGCAAAGTGAAACGTTTTTTAAAAGAAAAATAATACACATCACAAAAAAGAGGC